TTCTACCTTCTATGTCTTTTACCTGCTAAATCCCTTACCTGACTTGGCTGCATGTCCTTTCTCTCCTCGACCCATCATCCCAGCTGTATTATCATCAGACCCACCGGATCCATGGCGTAATCATTATGGTCGTCACATTATGGGTACACTTGTCTGGATCCGGGCCACCTCACTGCAAGTGTACACCCGTCACGGATCCGAGCCCTCCAATCTCCCAACATTGTCTTACGACAGGTTGTGGTCTTCATCACTCCACGAAAGTTCGAGTTCCAGTGCATCAACCATCCCCATATTCTGGATCCAGGTCACTCCGTGTGGGATCCTCACCTCCTTGGATCTGGGCTCGGAAGTACGGGATCTGGGACATATCGTGGTGGATCTTGCCTTCTCGTTGGTTGTTGATGTCAGATCCACCTTCAGATAAAACCTACCATCCTTCCTTCATAGAATCCCCACTCGATCCACCTGTACATGGTATATCCCATATCCCCCTAAGTGAACTCGGGTGAGGGTGGATCCGAGTCTCTCCTTGGTGGATCCTGCCTTCCCATACGTTATCCATACCAGATCCATCGTCAGCTCATACGGGATGCCGCTTATCATGGCCAATCCACCTCGGGCAACGTAAATCCCTGTCTGGCTATCCAAATCCTCTCTAACCACTTGAAACTGTCACTGATTCGGGATAGTGACCCCTTGCTAGGTCCATTCTCTTATTTGTTTTAGAAAGCACTTCACCACAATCATCTCCTGTACGTGGTGCGCGCTGGAGAACAGCGTTCACGGAGCACACTCCTAACGTTCCTGCTTCTCCCACAGCTTCCACCGCTTTGTGACACATGTCTCCCACCAAGCGCACTAGTACATCGCCGGGCAAGGCCCCATCCACCACTCCGCCGGTCAGCCCCTTCATGTCGCCTAGGGATTTACGGGCCTTAGCCCAAGCTCTTTCCGATCAGGTGCGAGCCTTGACGGCGGAGCTCCAGACGGCCCAAGATGCCCGGGACCAAGCTCAACGCGCAGAGGCGGGAGCTCAGCAAGCATACAAGTCGTTATTCACGTCTTCGTACCCCACCCGGCTCCCAAACTTGCAAGCTCAGAGAGGGGATCAGAAATATGAGAGTTAATGTCAGGGGAGCGCCTCTGCGCCCTCTAGTGCGAACACAGTAGAACTTGAGTCTACCCACTTAGACCGCTCGAGCACACTGACGACTAAAACATAGCTCCCACCACAAAATCAGACACACCCATGAACACAACTGCACAGAACATCTACAGCCACATACGCCACGCACGCCGCCTCGCACTAACCACTACGCTCCCTTCAAAACCTTTCCAACAGTTCCACCACGCTCATTTACAAGCGTTAGACACTTTGGGACGTACGGGGTGGTCGTGCATACTGGCTTCGTGCTTCTCTTCACCCACGTGCGTTGTCGTTTTGATCAGCACAGCACGAGATCCACGTCTGCGATGGGAGGGCAGTGCATACATAGCCCAATAAA